TTTTTTTTTTTTTTTTTTTTTTGCCTATCCTATAGTAAGGCCACTTACCTGATTAGCTTATACGGTGTCACCAATTTATCATTAATGAAAGTTTGATTTTTTCTTTTGTATCCAAGCCAACCTGATATGAACCAAGAGACATCAATCATACAATATACTTCAATGAAGATATGAAGAAAATGTTGTCAAAATTATCAAAAGATGTTTCAATTCATGCTACATTGAAGAGGAATAAAGTTTGATTGTTGTAAATTTTGGGTGGGTTACAATTTAGAGTAATTTAGAGTTATTGTATTTCATTATTGTATTTTAAGACTTTTAATTTACTTTAGTTACAATTACATAATGGTTAATTATTGCCATTAAGTATGAATGTTACAACTCTTGGAATGCCTTGAGTAGTTTCATTTTGAGGCTATATAAAGCCATGTATGTTGTATTTGTAAGGAAGACTTGGAAAATATATTACAAGAAGCATTTGTGCTTTTCTTTAGCCAATGGCTAAGTTTCTTTGCAATTCTATGTAGTTTAGGTTGCATGTAGAATCATTCAAGCTCGACATGATCAATCTTGCTTATGGAGTGATTCGAATCTCAAAAGTGTTTGAGATATTTGATCAACAAGAATCATTCAAGCTAGACATGATCGATCTTGCTTGTGGAGTGATTTGAATCTCAAACAAGTGTTCTTGTGTTAAGATATTCGATCGACAAGGTAATCTGAATCTTATTCCCCTTGTATTGATTCCTTATCTTATCACAACCTATAAGAATCCATGACATCAATTTCATGTTCAATTCTCTAACTCTTACAATGGTTCATGTGTTAAACTTCTTGCGAGCATTAAAGACTTTGTAAGGATAAAGTCTTGGAACATTATAATATACATCTAAATCTATATACATATTATATATATATATATATATATATATTAAGATTTCATTTTCTATTTTTTTTTCTTTTCTTCGAGTGACTACCTATCTTCCATTTTTTTATATGTTCTGTATATTTTTTTATTCTGTTGACAAATATTTGCCTAATTTATTCTAGTTATTTTCTACCCTCTAACATCATAATAAAAAATCTAAATAATTGGGAAGGAACTAGAGATCTAATTCTGAATAATTAGACAAAGGAAAAGGAAATTTGATTCTGACTAATTTCTTATAAGATAAATGAAAATGAGATCTGAAAAATGATTTACCCTAATAACAAAGCTATTTTAGCACACCATAATAGTTGGGGAGAGGAAGAGGGGTTGGTGGAGAGTAATTTAGGGAAAATTATTATTTTAATTATTTAACTATTTACTTTTTTTTTTTTCTTACAAAAGTTGTTAGCATAAGATAATAATGCAAAAAAATTATTAGATTTCAAGTTTGAACGCATATCCGATAGATGGGAATGGAAGAACCATACTTAATTTAATGCACATTTAATATGTAACTACCTCTCCTCAAACACATTACGTCTCATCTCATTAATATAAAACTAAAATTATTTTATATAAACGTTTCAATTCATCTACCTAATAATTTTATTAGCTCTCATTAACATTATTATAAATTTTGGAAGAGTTGCATGTATCAATAAAGAGAATGAGCTCACAAATTTATTCGACCATTAGAGCCTCCCACATTTAAAAAATAATTAACCGTAAATTTCTTAATAAATAATAATATTAGTGAGGATGATAATAATAATTTGAGTAGAAACTCTCTCTCCTCTCCTCTTTTCCCTAGGGTCGCTCTTCGACACATCAATGTTAATGTCGCTGTTCCACCTCACCGTCACCCTTTTCTTCTTCAAACAAAAATAGAAAACACAATCTGAAAAAAAAAAACTTAACTCCATCCATCATCATCAACTTGAAAAGGTGCATCTCGTATCAACAAAAATTTAATTATGAATAAAAAAATAAAAGAAAAAAATAATCATACTGAGATTCATCGGGCTTATGTTTTCACATGACAAAAGATTATATGACGATTTTTTATAAAACAATCGAATTTCTCACGTTTATCGTTTTATGCGTTTCTAAATTATTTATTATAAGAAATTTGTAGAGGAGAAATCCATCCATTTTTTAATTGTTTTTTAAAAAGATTTAACAATAAAGTATTGTTCTATTATTATTATATTTTTCTTTAGTCCATAATTCAAACTTACGTGGATGAATTGAATATAAACATCAGATAAGACAAAGAAAGGACCACAAATCGATGCATCGAGGAAAATGAGGAAAACAAAAATAAAACATGTGAAAATATACTGTGGAAAGGAAATAAAATAATAATAATAATAATAATAGTTTAAGTTAAAGATTCTTTCTTATCTTGATTTTGAATGAAAATGAAGAATGGTTCCTCCCTCACGTTTCAGTATTTATAATCTTTAAATATAAAAATTCCAAAATAAATAAATAATTTTAATTTTGGGGTGGTGGTACAATAATGCAAAATTACAGGGACTCCAAAACAAAATGCAAATTATTGGAGTGGTCCTCCTCAACCTCCATAAAAAGGTGCGTAAATGAAAGCTCCGATCTCATCCACTCACTCACTGCCAATTAAACTGTAGACGTATGGCTTACTGCACGTCTCACACCTTCCAAATTCCGGCCTCCAACGTCATTTCACGGCCGCGCACTGTCACTCCCTCTGTCGGCGCCGCCGTGTCCTTGTGGCGCCGCCCTTCATCTATTCCATCTATTTCAAACCGCAACATGTCCTTCAAATGCCACGCCATTTCCAAGTGTAATGGTACTACGCTCTCACTTACATCGATATGTTTTTAAAATTTTTCGTTTTTTGAAACGGGATTTTCGATCTTTTGATTAGATTAGAGATATATAATTTTTTTTAATAGTCGAATTATGTTGATATTAACAATTGACATTTTTCAACAATTGTCCTTCCAAGTCTAATTTTGCAATTTGTAGTTTCTAAAAGCTTTGAATCTCATTTCAACACTTAACTACATAAATGCGGACACAATCATTACAATTCCTTAATCAAGTCTAATGTTCAATTTGAGGATAAAAATTGACCCATATAATAAATTTAAAATCTAAGAGTAAAAATTGGTTTTTTCCTCCCAAACATTTTTCTATCACGATATCAATGGTCATCTAACATTTTCTGTGACAGATATCACACCTATTATAACCGAAGAGGCTCCAGAAGCATTAGGGCCATATTCTCAAGGCATCATAGCCAACAACTTTATATTTGTGTCTGGCTCCCTAGGTCTTATTCCCGAGGTAGCTTCATCATTTTATGATTTTATTTATTGTTACGTTCTACTTTACGTGTAGATTATGTGAATTTTTTAAATGTCTAATCCAACATAACTCAAGTGTTTAGGTCTACTTACATGTATTTGTAGATTAGTAGTTTCGAATTTCGTGTATGTGTATGCACTTTCTATGAGGTCTAATTGAGTGTGTATGTTTATGATTTAATACAGACAGGAGAATTAATTTCCGATCACGTTGGAGACCAAACTGTGCAGGTATTATTTGTTTATTTTTTTCATTAGATCTTGTTGTGCTTTGTAGACCCAAA